TTTTTGTGTTATTTTTGTTTAGGCCGCTGAAGAATTTATGTGATGGTCTTACTTAGCGGTCAGTCGGCTTGTCGGGACGGCGAAATGGTTTTCACTTGCGCTCGGGCCCCAATGTTTATACTTTTGTACGTAACTTCACGCTTTCAATTAATATCAGTGTAGACAGAGTTGTAGTGTCAATTAGATATCATTTGATTTTTTTTATTGAATAAACCGTTAATTTAGTAAAATTTATTATCCTGAGACCAAATCTTCGTCAGAAATTCTTTTTCTTAGCAGAAATCACTGAACTCCTGCAACCTTAACTAGATCTTCTATCACCCTTAGGACAATTAAGAAAAAAAAACACCTCAGTAGTCAAAATCAGTTCAGTAAACTACAGAAGGATATAGTAGTACTTTTATAAATACACGTCCGAAGAAAAGATTGTCTTCGTCAAGAAAAAAAAATAGATTGTCACATAACTATCAGGGATCTCTCGAATCAAAGTATGGTCTCGCAAAATAGTATAGCAGACAAAACGGATTCCGAATACTGGCAATTGGAATAGTTTTCATCGTTTTTTATCTGATATCGAGCGTGGAAGGCATCCTAACGGTATCCACCACGAGACATAACTTTAGGGCGGACCGGGCGAAATCTTTTTATGTTATTTTACTGACCTCAGCCGGTCGCCTTCTAAAAATGCAACCGACGGTCACCGTTCTATACTTAACGTGTTTAGTTCCGAAAAGTAACCGTAAATTAAAAAAAACACGGCTTAGGTATTCCACTTCCTTTTTAAAACGTGACTTAAAGCCGACACCAATGTTACAAAAAAACACATATGACATTGAAGTCTCATTTAAAATGTTGACTATACCTGACGGACATATTAGGCATTGATATGAAATTGTAATTAGGTACGTTCAATAAATCAAAAAATGTCCACGATTACCTTGTTAATTAGGCATGTTAAACAGAATTTTAAGTAACTTTTATCGTCACAGCCAGAATTATTACAAAAACTTTACTGGCAACTCTAATTGCGTTCAACGCCGGCCAAAATTAAAAAGAAAAGTCGCACCGCAAGAATCCCGCCTATTTTTAAAAATGGAACCCGACGATGATTCGCCTAATTAATAAACCAATCACGTACAGTCGAGACGCGGCAGCGAGGCGCGGCGGACGTGCGGGCGCGGGGGATGAACGCTCGGAAATTCGAATACTATATTTTTTCTGCACCCGAAGCATCATGATGTTACTTGTAATTGGCTTGACGGCCGATGGCAGTGAATTTAGTATCAAATTAATTACCAACGGTTCTAACATCGCTTAGCTAAGAGTTAACAACAAAAAACTATTCTATGAGACTAACAGTATAAAACAGACCATTAGAAAATGCTTCTACACATCAGTTCATATAGACTTAAAAAATTACGAGACAAAAAACAATTTTTGTCGTAGTCATTCCTACTTAATCAATCTAGGAATTAGAAAAATTACACGAGACATCGGTCTGTTTCTCGGAACGTGTAGATGCCGCGGATTATCTGACACGATACGTTTTTTTCTAAACACCGCGTGGACTGACATAACCAACAAAAGGCATTTAATATTGACAGCGAAAAATTATGTCAAAAACTTTCAAAGCGTTCGTTGATTTTTGTGGCGGAAAGATAAAAAAAAATATCATTTATCAAATAAATGCATTCCCGGTTATGTCCTTGCTCAGCGTGATTACAAAAAATGAGTTGAATAATAAACGCATCGGTTGGCAACACTGGGCCCGAAGTGATCCGACGCGGGCCGAAGAAGGGCGAAGATTAGCCAGAGCGCGCGCTTTTTGCTTGCATCAATCGATGCGCCCGAGCATTCGCACGATGAATAATTCAAAAATTGACATGAAATGGCGTATGGTACTTTTTTTTAAATGAAAGGTGCCCGATTGAGGACTGTAACCGCCTGACGAATTCATTGCTCGACGGCTTTTTGCGTTCAGTAATTGCTGTATTTACTTTATAGGTTATGAAATTAAATATACAAACATAATATTTTAAATCACCTATGTTTCATATGCACATCTGGGAAGAACTCAAAGATATGTGTGAAGTCAACCAACCCGCACTTGGTTGACTAAGGTCTGATTACTCCTAACTAGGGTAAGCTTCTCGGTGGTAACGCATATGGGCTAACGCCAATACTCACTATACTGAACAATATTCTACGCCGATTTTCATTAGAAAATCCCTTAAGCAGTTCTTTATAGAGATCTCCCTACTTAATCCCCACTGAGCACACTTTAGGACTCTGAGTATATCAGTTGTCTCTTTGGTACAGTCGGCAAAAAATTAATTAATGCGCGTAATGCTGTTAATGATGCAACGAAAACTTGCCGCCATTTCCAAGTATAAGTAATCTCGCCATTTTGAATTCTGTCCGCGATTGGCCAAAACTTCTTTGTCGTGTTTCGATTAAATGACTTTATCCTACAAGTGTCAGTGACATCTCCACGTTATGGTTATGAAGTTTTTATGACTACCCTCCATTAACGGACATGACGAAAAATATATTAATAAAAACTTTAACGTCAATGAAGAAAAATATGATCATTTTTGGGTATTTCCAGAGATGTAGAGTTTCATAGAAGTTTGCAAAGTAAATAATCGAAAATCGATTTTTAAAAGGCCTTTTTTGACTGACTTCCTAAAAGAAGGAGGTACTCAATTCGACTGTTTGTTCTCTTAATCTACCGAAATTACAATAAAAGCTTCAGATAAACAAAAAGTAATAGCTTTTAAACCTCCAATATTCTTATTATTTTTCCAGCGTCATTCTGAATCTGTTTATATTTTCCCGAAAAAAAAATACCTTAACAAATTAACGATTAAAAAAGTACTCACTTGTATGACGTAAAAGACATATTGGTATCAACGCACGGCTGATCTTCCACCGTTCCAGTCGTCAGCATGAGGGTGTTCATTCGTGTTGGCCTTCACTATCGACTATCGACACACCGCGGTACAACACTAGTCCGTCAAAGTCCGTTGGGAATGCGTCAAATCGTCGCCACACATTATGTACGTCACACCACTAATTTTCCTCCTTGTTTCATTTCTGAAAAAAAAAGAACGTCATGTTATAAAATAATTATTTACATTTTAAATTAGTCGTGTATTTTGTACAAGGTAACGGAACGGGGTAACTTATTTATACTTATATTATACAGAGGAAAGATTTGTATTTTTGTATGTATTAAAATAACTGAAAAACTACTGGGTCGATTTTAAAAATGTTTCTATTATTTTTTAATTTCACGCGGGTGAAGTCGCGAGCAACAGCTAGTCTTACTAATAATGCGAAAATTAAGACGGATGGATGATTGTTAGAGTTTGTACCCTAAACTACTGAACACATCTCAATGAAATTTGACATATATGTAGAAGATAGTCCGTAAGAAAACATAGGCTTCTTAATTTTGTTTTTTTTTTTTTATGAGGACATTGTCATGTACGAAAGCTAATAATCCATAAAATAAATGCCATAATTATGTTCAATAGAGTTACATCAAAATTTTTATATGACTTAAGACTTCTTTTGATAACGGTGACAATTCCTTGAATAAAATATATGAATGATGTATGAAGTTAGTTGAAAACACAAATGTACTGGAATGCTGGCCATCGGGATGGTGTAAATGTATTGACTTTATAATTATAAAAGGAATTGGGAACTATAAAAAGTGTCCGAAAAGTCTCATGCAACCTTGATTACAACATAACATTTAATTGTGGAATTCTCAAATTTTGAGGTTAGAATCTGCAACTATTGTAAATTGGTATTTGTCTTCACTTTATGCTGCGTAAAATATTTAATGACGTAGAATATTATTTATTACTAGCTGTTGCTCGCAATTTTGTCTGCATGGAATTAAAAAAACGTAATTTTTAAATGGTGCAATAGTTTTTTTAGTTAATCTTGTTCATGAATTTCCAAACAAATCAGTTAATAAGTTTCCAAAATAAATTCCTGAAATTTTCTTATAAACGTAAAATAAAATAGTCACAATTCAGTAACTTCTCAGTTTGAATTTAAAAAAAAAACATCGAAATAAGATAAAGAACTAAAAAATCAATATTATTAACAGGCATAACGACTTAACGGTTAATAAATAAAAAAGTACATCCTACTGTAAAACATTAAAGGGACTTCATAAATATTTTAATGATGTCACGTACATAGAAACCTCTTTACACCTCGCGGAGTTACTGGCCAATGATAATTTAACAGTACTTAAACTTATAAAAAAAACACAAAAATGCTATCGTAACTGTATAAATATACGTACTCGCGTCAACTTATTAATTTTAATGTTCTCTTGTACATATGTTCGTCGGTAATTTAAATTAATAAAGCTAAGAAAATAAAAACGTACAAGAAACTTATGCTACCGTGTATGGAAAAGCAATGGAACTTCAAGACTTGTCTATACTATTATAATAAAACGTAAACACACACTTCTTTGTTGCCTTAGATGTCAGCAATTACAGCATATTTTCGAATAACTCTTTATTTAATAAAAAGCCCTACACTTACGTCACGCTTTAGGGTATATATTTTTACGCCGTTAAACTTAGGGGTAAATATTTTAGATAAAAACCCTAATGTGGGAAGAATACCATAAGTTGCTGCCAACATCAAGGAAGCAAGACTGCCAAGGTTTGTCATGTCATATCATTTTGACATTTGCAATTGATAATTTGACAAATGTGAACAATGTAATGAAATTTTAATAATTTTATGCGGATGAAATCGCATAGGAACAGCTAATATATGATAATGTTAAGATATTTGTATCTATATATGATCAAGCTTTTACTAGAGATCGTGTAAACGCATAATAAAAAAAACTTGCCTATATTCCCGCAACCAATCTTTCGCCCGCGACTCGCGTGGAATAAAAATTATGAGTAGCCTTGTGTTATTCCAGACTATGCTAATATCTATGTCAAATTTCATCGAGATCCGTTCAGCAGTTTAGGCTACAAACTCTAACAAACATCCATCCATCCATCTAAAATTTCGCGTTTACAATATAAGTTAGATATGTGTAATCTTTGGAATCTAAGCAGCATGTGAAATAACTTGGTATTTCTGAGCGTCGCCCTTCACGGCCCCATGTTTAATAATATTGCGTATAACAGTCACCTAAGGTATGGTATGAGAAACTAGACAGGATCAATTCTCACTTATGTAAGATTTAAATGTATACTTATATCACAGTAATGACTAAGTGGGACTTAGTCCAGGTATAGCTGGATGAATGGACTAAAAAGAGGTTTCATGTCAAGAATTACGTTAAAAAGACAGATGTCTATATAAATGGAGACTCATATTTTCAAACTAGCTATATGCATCTACGTATAATAAAATTAGAGTGTCTGTATGTGACATCAAAAGAAAATAATGTCTGTCCGTAAGCCGCGTTTATTCCGGGTAATCTCCGATATCAACTGGACCTTCAATGAGGGGCTCGAAGCTTATCCTAACTAAGGGGTGGATAGGCCATAGTCAACCACGCTGGCCCACTGCAAGTTGGTTGATTTCACACATATCTTTGAATTTCTTCGCCGATATGTGCAAGCATCACTATGTTTTCCTTCGCCGTAAGAACGTCGGGTAAATTATGTACATTTGAAAAATCGAAAATCTTATTGGTACGGCAGTATTCGAACACGAGATCTGTACAAGTCAAGTCCTTAAACCACTGAGCCATCAACGCTGTCGACACACCGACGTTTTTCCGAATACTTCACAAGAACTTTAATATTTTTAAAATGATACAGCTGTCACGTATCAAAAGAGAGACGCCTTTTGGGGAAAAGCAATCCTGATTGGTGAGCAAAAAGCAACAGCTACATATAAGGAGTTCACCAAAAAGCATCAATAAGTTTTACGATTACTTGTAGACCAATTACACGAAATTATCAGCATAATAATTTAATTTATTTGCATCAGAATTTTAAACAAATGCCAAAATAATATTAAACTTTCAGGATTAAATATCTAGATCTACACTTTTACATTCATTATCTAGAAAAAAACACACTATGCATTAAATAAACACATACTGTATACAGATATAAAGGCTGGTTAAAAAAAAAACAAAGCCATATAAAAACACTATGACTAGTAATATTAAAAAAAAAACAGTCAAACGCTACTTAAAATTGACAAGTATTTACGGAGTTCAAAATCACATGACATTTCAATAAATCCGATAAAGAAATTAGACAAATAAAAAGATAGTTTTGTAGTCTATAGACTTAAATACTTGCCAATAAATATCCGAACATAATTTCACTGATTTTTTAAATTACCCAGAATTGTTTATGCTTCCACCTTCGTAAACAGTTCACCAATCAACTAGATTTAAATCCTAAGAGGACATCAATCCCCATTTCTTTCGATTATTCATATTGTTATGATATAACCATTAAATTATTGAGTCATCAAACCATTGTTCATTTAAAATCGTTGTCAAAGCGTTATTATTATCTGTTTTTAACGTCATCTTTGCTTTTAAGGGGTTAGATTTCATAAGTTCAGAATGACGAGTTTTATAGCAGTTAATTGGTCAATAAAGTCTTCTACTTTTAGTGTAGACTTACTATTGCCCGCGACTTTCTCTAAGCAATATTAAGTAGCCTATAATATGCCCGTCTATGTCAGCCACCCTTTAGTTAAAGTCCGGTCAAAATCGGCCCAGACATTTCGGACATTACACGAAACTAATGCGGCTTGCGGACAGATAGAGAGACGGACAATTTTTTTTAAATACGATCTTCGTTATCAGCATCGCAAATACATTATCTTCTCGAAATGTGGAAATTTCCTTTTGATATAACAGACACTGCAATTTTATTATATGTATAGATTTACCCACCCAGAGTCGTTGATCATTAACAGAGGTATTAGTGTAAATTTTTAATACAAAGGTAGATAATATACATACTATGGTTAGACCTTTTAACGACTTGGTTAACTAAGGACGACTATTTACCGATTTGCCGATAGTAAGCATGCTACACTAAGGGAATGCATAAGTAACAATTACCCATCTCTGAGCGCCTCGATGTGACCTTAAGTTATCATTTCCATAACAATTTTCCATCAATGTAATCAATTAATTGGACATTTCGGTTCGTCGATCCATTCTCTAAAACTTGTTATGATTTCATCCGTCCTAATCTAACATATCTGGTAGTGGTCTGGCCGCATCAGATGCGAGATACGGGCCTCGGCGGGAACCGGCCGGCGGCCATATTGAATCTGATTGACAGCTGTCAATGTTGGCGGCACTGCGACGCGTCGCCGCGCCTGCGCACTGCTACAAGCGCGCCACTAATTCCTCAACAAAAAATATAGTAGCGTTCAAAATAAAACTTAATGTTAAACCATGTATCGATTGAAAAATAAAAACCTAATAACCTTGTATACTAATACTATTATTGCTATAAAATAAATTACTAATCTACCCGTAATTGTCTACTAAATGGTTTTGCCAAATTTTATTCCTCTAACATAGAAAAAAATCTTTTTAGAGAAAGAAAAAGACTTTTATGAAGTCTACAGGTTAATATCTACCTATAGTACCTTTAAAAAAAGTTTGCAATGTCACACCTCCACTTATTACAGACTAGCTTTTGCGCGCGGCTCCGTCCGCGTGGAAATAAAAAAACACAAGGGAGTAGCCTATGTGTTCTTCAAAGAGTATCCTCTACGTCTATGCCAAATTTCATCGAGATCCGTTCAGTCGTTTAGGCTACAAACTCTAACAAACATCCATCCATCCATCTAAACTTTCGCATTTATAATATTAGTAAGATTTTACTGTCACACAAAAGTCGATACCGTAAACAGTGTGGGTTCTTAAGATTGAGCGATTACGTCTTTAATATCAAGCATATTACAAAAGTAGCTATAGCGTGTTTATTATTAGGTTTCAAAGCTACTTTACAGGGTGTCTGGGAATGACGTGTCGCAGTACCACAGATTCTTTTATTGAACATATGATTCTACTAGCTTTAGCCCGCGACTCCGTCCGTGTAGAATTA